ATAGTATTGTAGGATATTTTTTCCTAAGTGTTTTTAAAAGCACCTTTAGGAGTATGAAAAGTGAATGAAATGTTATTCAGAAATAGTTAAAACTGAGTAAGAGTGACTTAACTTCTATTTAATTTTCCATTCTTATCAAGCTTGGGATATCCAGGTCTCATTAACTAATAATCTGTAAAGTATTCTGAAATTATATCTATACACTACATAAATACTAAATAGAGTACTAAAGGGGAAAATATGTTAATTTGCATGGAGTTTAGGAATTAGCATTTATTTATTTTCCCTAAGTAAGCAGGCCCATCCAGTCCCTTTAAGCTATCAGAAAATGTTCTGGCAGTCACAGGACAATTCATCTTCACATATTTTGTGTATCACGTTGACAGAAAACACATTTTGAATGACTTGAAAAGTTGTACTTCCAGAGGAATAGACACACCTACTTATATCCAGGATTCTTATGACACTTTGCCTCAATACATATATTTTGATACCTTTTCAGCTCTACAAAAGGACAAGTAGGCATATATCCAATTTGCATGCTCAGAAGGGGTGAATTTCCCAATCTGGAAATGAAACCTTCCAGGAACAAAACACAGACCATTGGTATGAGCACTTTGGGAGATCAGTTAGTTTATAAAACAAGAGCTAGGTAGGATAAGTATGTGATGCCCAGAATTCTGTCTGATCATCTCAGCATAAGTCACATGGAACACTAGACAAAAAACACAATCTGTTTCTAAACTGGTGTAAAATGCACTCAGCAACACCATCTGGGATCAGATCACAGGTGAGGCTGGTGATGGTGCCAGGGAGACAATAAGCACTTTGCACTCGAAATAGATTTTGAACTGGTGCTGCAGTCACCTGCTAAGAAGTAATAAGGCCACATTTGGACTAAACAAAAACTAGGGGGGGTTGGCTGGGTTTTTTTGTGGGGAAGGGGGCACAGGCTGAAAGATAAGAGTCTACTCTTTTACGTCCTTTCACATCTCAAAACATTTATCAAGAGAATGTGTTTGCCCATACACCTTCAGCTGTACACACACAAACAGGGTCACTTCCTTCTCCATGCTCCTCTCAGCAGCTGGGAATGATGGAAATGACAGAACAGCTTAACAAGAGCATTCCCCACGATGTTCCTCTCTAAGAAGTGCTATCGGACTGAAGCCTCTCAGCAGGCATCTGATTTACAGGCAGAGCCATAAGGAAAGTCCACAAAGCCAGCTGCCCCACCAGCAGGGTTATCACAGCTGTCAGCCACATCAGCTCCTGAGAGAGGTGTAGCCTGCAAGCAATTGTGATCACCCATCTTGAGATTTTCTCTTTTCTTTACCTGTCAGCTAGGGATTGTCTGCATTCCGATGGCATTTTTTCTATACACTTCCCTGCTGTGAACAGAATCTACACTGCTCACCCAGAAGTAGAGATACCACTTTCAGAAAGCAAATCCTAAATTACAGGACTGTGTTGTTTCTATCTGGATGCAGTTCCCTTGCAATTCCCAACTGTCTGGCCCTGCTGCAGTTCTTGAAACTGGATGTTTCAATTAGAAGGAGCTTAAGGATTTGGGAGAGCTGTCAGATGATGCAGAAAGCAGGTTGGCTTTCAATATTAAATTTTGTTGCATCTTTTCTCATTACTGCAAATGTTTTATTTACTTGCAGATGTTGAAAGCACTGAAATTAGCAATAAATAACACTGAGATTTATTATAGGGAGGATCATTCCAATTAAGATGGATTATTTGGGGGGAATTCCCAGTAATCCAAGATTGTATTCTAGTCCTCTTAAAAAAAATATGCAGAACCCCCCCAAAACCTCACAGTATTTTTACCATTATTCAGGAGAAATAACAGTTGGTTTTGTTACACTAAGTATTTCTACTTTTCTCACAAGCTAATGAGTTTCTAGTTACTTCCTAATGTCCCTATCAAGGCTTAAAAATCTCTGCTCCTTCTCAGTCACTGCACACAGGCATTACAGTTGATCATCATGTTCTTCCACAGAGTTATGTCAGATCACCTCATCTCAGGGGCAGGCACAGAGCACAGTTGATGGGTGTTCTCCTGGCCAGGATTTCACCTGTAGACACCTTCTGGCCCTGCTTCCTTCTGTTCATCTCAAAACAGTGCTTATTAATGCCCTGCTGATTTGAAGGACTAGCCAGAAGTAATCAGTGATATCAATTTGTTACATCAAGACTGTCTGCTAATAAGGAGCTATTTTTTGCTACATAATGTGCAAAAATTGGCTGTATCTTCACTTAGAAAAACCCTTTCAAGCTTGCTACCAAACACAGATGTTAAGATCAGGAAATCTGATGTTAAGGGCTTCATAAACTCACTAAAGCAAAAAATCAGCACTTTTCATCAGGCTGTTATTCAAATCTTCCCATGCAGTCTACCATATCTTTATCTACAAAAACAAAGCAAGCTAATAATGAGAAAAATATCCTCACTGCTCTCTCCAGAGTCACAACAAAGCAATGACAGAAAACATTATCTGGGGCTCCTTCAATTTTCTTCTATTTGTTTAAGAAAGTAACATAGAAAAGAAAGATAAACTCATGACCAACTGCAGCAACAAAATAGTGATACTCCAAACCATATGGAAGAAGATGTCTTTATATTAAAAGAAGCAAAGTGGTTTACAGAAAGAGATCCACACATTAAAGTTTGTTTGTGTTTTGCAGGATTTCACAGCTAACTCCTCCTCCATTAAGCTCTTACTGAATCCACCTTCGTCTCTTCCCTGGAAAGAACTGCTTCCCCTTCGTGACACTGAGCTGCACTTCTTCATGTAAATGCTGATGTCATTAACACTGAACCACCAGGAGGTTTTGGTAATCTCCTAAAAACATCCACTCCTGCAAATCAAGGACTAAATGTCCTGGTCAAACCCTCAACTCTTCAAGGAACACTCTATTTTCATCAGTAAATGCTCAGTGTTTACCATGAAACAGTGGATATGCTGACAAGGAACAGCAAGTCATTTATGTTCAGTGCAATGGCAAACACACTGGCTTCTGGAGCTCTCTGTGGTGCTCTTCTGGGGGACCAAGGTCCAGGCGATGACAAAACTCTTTTAGAGATACCACCTGCACTCAGAGGGATACTGCCTTAACAAGCCAGGCATAACTGGAGGAGAAATGAATGTTTAAATACATTTACTTTGCTCAGAAACTCTGGGCCTTGGGAATGTGTGTTTTTCTGAACAACACAGCATGATGCACAGAGCAGTGATTTTTTGCTCCTGACTGGGCAATGCAGAGCCAGAACCTGCACCAGTTAGTGACTGTTAAATGAAGCAGCACTGCAAACTGGCAAACATAAGGGAAAGAAATGCAAATACAAGCTGTTGTTCCTGCTATTGCTGTCATCAATTCTCCTATCAGCCTTGGACCCAGCCAGGCAATGATGCTCACATGCAACAGCAAAGTAATAGCCCACACAAGACCCTCATTTAAGGACTAAGGTCATAAATTCACCAAAGAAGCTTTTTACTTCACTCCATGGTTAGTTTACAATGACCAAGTGCCAGAGATTAGATTAGCTCCACTTCAAATTCAGGTTCAGCCTCAGATTTTGTCCAAGAACATTTAGAGACAACTGAAGTGGCCAACATCTGCCATAAACCGCAAAGAGATGAAGTGAAACCCTGGCAAACCCTGGCACAGACAACAGCAAAGCTCTGATCCAATATTCACAATGGTTTTTTGGGTTGGATTCACTTTTCTTCTCTGTCCATGGTGCTCTGCAGGACACAAACTCCATGCTACCCATTTGAAATGGGCAATGCTATGTGCAAGACTGCTCGTGCACCACATTCTGTCATTCTTATATCTGATTCACCATTAATACTTGATAATATCCCACCCACACAATTAGTGTTGTTTCACCCCCTGCATGCTTCCAAAAAAGGCACTAGAAGAACATTCTCTATTGACTTTTCTGCATATCCTTTCTCCTCTGTCAGTGGGCTGCCAGGAAGTGTAGACTTTGGCAGTAGGAACTGGAAATTAAAATAAATTAGTCTCATTTACCTTTACAAGCACCTTTCCTTGCTTCTGTCCTACTAAAAGAAACTAGTGATCATGCAGAGGAAAAAGCCAGTATTTGTTTCTTATATTGTGTACTAGATAGAAAACCAACACAGACTGACTTGGAAAGGAAGAGCAAATTTCATGAGGAGTAAACAAAAATTACCAAAGTGTTTCTGAGAGAACTGGTGTAACATCCAGGCGCTCTGGCAAACTGTTTCTCAAGTTTTACATCAGAATATCCCCACTGAAATCACTGGTCATTTGTCAGCTTAGAGCTCTAATACTAAAAAGCCCATCAGGCTGAAATGTAGACCAAAGGTCCCTACTAGAAAAGGTGCATTTGATTTTAGAAGGAAAGTTTTGTATTTTTTAAATAAACCATCAGCTTTGAGCTTTCTGCACACATACAACTTATACCCTGCCTGGAAAATATGGCCAACACCTACACCTTCAGAAAGTATTTTGTCCTTTCCCTATAACACAAAACAGACCTTTTATTGAATTGACACTTTGCAGCTCACTAGACTGTGTGACACTTTGGGGAAAAGTAAAGCAGAAAACAGTCCAGTTGTTTGGCTTAGCAATGAAGTTTCCCACACATGCATGCTAATTTATTTCACTGCAAATGTCCCAACTAATTGCAACATTTACCCTTAGAGCACATGCACGGCAGTCACATTAATCCACCAGAAGACAATGGCTCCAAAGGAGCTATTACCATGTACCAGGCCAATAATCCACCAACGGTAAAGGATTTTCACAAAAGATTCAAACGGTTTCCAAGGAGCCATTATGGCATAACAGGTAAATAAAATATTATTGAAATGTATTTTTTGCATTTAAATCACTTGCAGCAGGTGCATAGGAAGCAGCATATAATCAAATTGCTCCCCTTCTCTTGAATACTAACAAGAATCAACAGCATTTAGTAAAAAGAAGAAGTAGCAAGTTCTTACCATGGCAAGAGGAACAATTCCCACAAACATGGTTCTGCTGACGAAGATCTCGGAGACCACCAGCTCACTCAGGGAGTCATCTCGAGGGTATTCCACCTGCCAGGTAATTTGCTGGGCCCCTGCCAGGCTGCTAGTGTTGTCAATCTCAAAGTCCATCTGCAGGATCTCATAGGAGGTCATGTTTGCTCTGAAAACAAACCAAAAAAACAATTGCCCACATCAGTAGGATGTTAATAAAATGTATTTTGATTTCTCTTTTCTCTTCACCAGAAGTTTTACCATATAATTCAAATTCAGACTTAAGACATTGACAGAAACTTAAATCAAATTGCACACTGGGCAACAGCTATGCTTGATAGATGAGTTGACACTATATCTTTTAGTTTCCTGAAATGGAGGCACTTTTACCCCATTAAATTCAAGCAGTCATTCTCCAAAATCACAGTGAACTGACAGAATTAGCCCCAAACCCAGGGAACTTCCTTGCACAGATGTGGTGAAATTATTTAATATAGCATTATTATAATTTTGTTGCTGCAAATACTGATGCTCCAAAACAACAGAATACTTGGCCATTCCTCATGCTGTAGCAGAAATTAGATTTTGGGAGGGGCAGGTGGAAAGTCTTTCAAACCCAAATTTATCTTTATATCAGTAAAAAAACTAGATTTGCAGAAAATATACATAACAAAAAAATGAGGGTAGATTATCCTTATTTTAAATCCCTGAAAGCATTGTTCTCATCAGTGGTGCAGACTTGTAATGATATGGTGATCATTATATATTTCTCATGTGGAAATAAAAGTTTAAATGTAAAAAAAAGGATAAAAATGCATACCATTCAGAACTGTCTTTAAAACCTACTTCTCCCTCTCTGTTAACAACAACACCTAGCACTCTCCTCTGGTCCAAAAATATGTAAGTATTAATAATTAATCCTCAGGTTGGAAAGACAGATCTGATCTTTATGTTACAGAGAAGAAAATGGACACCAAGATCTAACCAACATATTTAACTCAGCATATCCACAGCAGGGACCTGTTTAGAAAAAAACCTTTGCTCTTTAGCACTTCCACAAAAATTGAGGTACTTTACAAAGCAGTTCCCACCCCAGCTTCCCAGAAAGACACCTTCAGTGTGGAGACCTGACACACCTGACAAAGCACAGAGTTAGGAGGGAAAGGCAGGTAACATGACTGCAGACTGCACTGCTTAATTGTAGAGGTGAAGAGACAACCAATGTTATCAATATTACTGAGGTTTCAGGTTACATCCTCATAAAATCTGTTAATTTATGAATTTTCACCATGGAATTAAACGTGCCCATAGCTTGTTCCTGAACCAGGGATGCATCCCATGCATGCAGGCATCCCTCAGCAATCACCCATCCTCTGCCCTGTCCCCTGGTACATTACTGTGTGCCCTTGCCCTGAAGCAGGGACTCCAAGAGCTCTGTTCAAAGACATTTTTAGCCTGCTGCTACAATGAACAGAGATTTAAATATTCTTTTCCTCTCCCCAACTGCACAGAGGCAGAATCTGGGTGTGCCATATGTTTTTGAAGGCACATTGTAAAGGAAAAAATATCTGAACAGGAATTATTGATTTTCATGTTTTCTTTCTGACAACGAACAACACAAACATATGCTTCAATGCCTGAAGGATAAATATTTTCCATCTGACAGAGTATCCACCTCCAGGCAAAACCAGAAGCTATTAAGGCATCTTTTAGGTGGCCAACCAATCAGCAAAAATCTTTTAAGACCAGTATTATTACACAATACTAGGGATGTAATTAAACCACTTCTGTTAAAACCATAACCAGTGTGGGAACCACAAGGGAGTACTCAACTTCAGAGTTTTCTGCATATTACTTCTGGAAGTTTTTTTAATCTAAATTACATAAAATTAATTTGCTCACAGAAATAAAATTTAGAGATGAGCTTTACACTCACTGTGGATCTAGATATTAGACCTATCAAGGTATGTTCTGATCTGCAATTTAAGTTCAATCTGTTCAATAGTTGCCACTCACAAAGACACCCACAAGTGATTTCAATTTCAGAGTAAAACCACTGATGGAAGGTTTTGCTTTAGACTCAGCACTTAAATAACATGTCAGGTTAGTCTGCACCAATAAATCCTTTCCACATGTCCCACTCACTGGCACTTCTTTGAGCTCAGTCCATCATGTCTTCAATTAATCCTTTCCTGGTTTTCTTTTCACACATCCAAAAAGTAACCATAATAGTGGTTTTATATTTTTGAGACAGATTGGGACTGAGACCTCCCTAAGAAAAGCATCTGTGTGTCTTGCCTACACAGCAAGCTGAAGTAATTGTCAGGGAGTAAAATGACTCTTGTGCCTGTAAATATGCAAAGACCTCACTGCCTCCTTAGCACAGCTGTATAACTATAAAAGACAAAAGTTTCATTTAAAGGCAGACATGATTGTACACGGATGGATTAGAAATCCATCCAGACATGATTGTACACGGATGGATTAGAAATGGGTCTCTGTGCATCCAGGAAAGAGCAGCAACTCACGTACATAAGCCTTCCCAAGATCTAACTAATTTTAACATATGAACTAAAGCAAATCTGGCTTTCCAGGTCTCCCAGGACCCAGGATTTCCTAGTCCTGGTTCCAAAGAGAATCCTTATCATCACCTGGAAAAACAACGTAGCTTGTCAGATATTTTCTGCATTGTCTCAGAAGCAAACCAGGTAGCATGACATATTAATACTGATTAAAGAAGGATCCACATCTTCTCATTGTGACTTTTGCTGAAAGAGATTGATTTACTGTATCTAACCATCTTTCACTTGGGGAGCTTCCACTGAGTGCATAGCTTTAGCAAACAAGTATTCAACTTTCTTGACTACTTCAGTCACCAGCAGGTTTCTAGTTACCTTCAGAAGAGCAGGTCAATTAATTTTTCTCTACAATTATTGTCTCTTTGCCTTTTTAGGACAAAGATTCAGCTTCCAAGCAATGCCAAGTGTTACAGTATCTGGGAAACAGAGTACTTCATGGACTAATCCACCTTCTTTGTTCTTAATTTCTTCCCAGGTTACCACTATAATGAACTCATGATAAAACCTGAAAAGTTAATTTCTTTCTTGCTCAGACTAGTGCTTTCCTACTGGCAGCTGAATCTCTTATCCTACAGGGCTTCATGCATAGCAGGAAGATTGGTACTACATTCATAATTCTTACAACTTACTAACCACCCTCTACTATTGTGTGGGAGACCACTGCCTTTTTCCACTGAAACTGATGGAGGTTGCTAAAGTAAAACCAGAAAGAAATTAAACCATCAGCAAGACCTTAAAGGTTAGCATTTACTTATGCCAGTTCCATTAGCTGATAAATCCCCACTGCAACACCTGCATCTAAATGTCTCTCCTGGCTCTGCAGCATTACACTATAACCCTTTTCAAAAGGAGTTGTTCAGCCCAGCCATTGCATCTTCTGCTCTTAGTCTGATCTGTAGCTGGTGGCCAATATGTTGCTCTTTGTAGTCACTGTTGATCTGCAAATTTCTGGTGAAGACAAAACACTATCAGTGGGAAAATCCACTAGCAGAGAAGACAAGGACTGTAACTCATGCTGTTATCAGCCGTTAAATCTCACTAAACCAAACTTCATCCCATAAAGATTTTTCAGCTTTTTCTTGAGACTTATCCCATTTTTCTCTTAAATAAGTTTGCACTACTGGGGAGAGTCTGATGGAATCAAAGGACTATAAATCACTTCTCCTTTCCACATCTTTCTTCTCTTTTTAGCTAAATATTTCTATTGTCCAGTGAAGCTTTTCCTGGTTGAGAAGGATTTTGCCAAAGCCTAGTTTAGTGGAGCAATAAAAAATAAAAAGTCAAAATTACTTTTATAAAAAAAGATTATTTCCTGCAAGCACAAGGAAAAGACCTTATAATTTTAGGCAGCTGGCATGCTTGCTAATAAGTCCATTTCTATGGAAATGAGTTCATAACTATTAATTCTGCCTGCTCCTGATCTATTCTTGATGAGCTTTTCAAATTTAGAAAAGCACTTCATGATTCTCTCAATTTGGTAATTACTAACTCCCTTTGATGAATCCAGCCCAGTGTTTCAGACATGAGACATTCATTACACATTTTTCTTCTGGTGAGAGGAGAAAAAGAAACTAGGGGCTTGGATTGCTTTCCTCTCACAAACTCCAGTAAGCAGGCCCCTTCTTCAAATTGCAGTTTGTAAACCTATTTACTTACTTCCACAATACTGCCTCTGCTGGATGCTATAAGAACCCCAAAATTTTGAGATTTCTGCACATTTTCCTGTTGTCTGGCCTCATTATAACTAATGCATTCAAATCATGTCCTCAGCAGCCCAGTGAACCTTTGTAACACGTGCAGTCTTCATTCTGTACCCAGCAGCTAGTAGGCATGGCTGTTACCCCACTCTGGAACAGAAGAGTTTTGGCACAGAATGAATGCACAGAATGGCAAATCCATGCCGAACAAAGCCAGCTCTAGCTCCTACCAGCTCCAGAATAAGAAGAGTTAATCAGGACAGGAAAAAGTTGCAAAGTCCCAGAACTGTCCTGCAAGAGCCACATCCAGGCAGGCAACTGCAGGCATGAGGAGCCCAACTGCAAGGCTGGGCTTGCCAGGCTGAGCCTGAAGTATTTCTTCTGGATGGACATGAAGCCATAAAGGAGTGAGCACTGCACCCAAAGGCAAAGCCTCTCCTCAGTTAAAAACAGTCTCCCAGTGGAGCAAATCACAGCCTACACTAACCACTAGAAAAAAAAAGGACTGAGTTTCAAGTGCTTCCAAGTCCCTTCGAGAACTCTTGCATTACTGAATTCAGACGCTTTGTAAAGGTTCATACTGGGTTTGGAAGACTATCTATTATGTTACCTTGTTAAAAGATTTTCTTCCTAAATCTGGTAGTGCATGCAAACAGTAGGAAAAAAACCTATATATTCTGAATCTAAAAAAAATTAAAAATCCATTACCAGGTTTGTTTCCCT